CTGTCTTGGCTCAGAAGCAGGGCATATCACGAGGGTTCCGAGGGTTCAGAGTTTCAGGGTTATAAGAACCCTTACACTAAGCCCTAAACCCTAAATCCAAAGCTCTAAGCCCTAAACCCTAAACCCCTAAACCCCTAAACACCCTTAGAAGAGTTCTGAAAGAAACCCTTACAGGAACCCAGAGCCCTCAAAGCACCCAGACCTGTCAAAGTCCTTCGGTCAATCAACATGCTTTTAAAGATCTGTAAGTAAAGTGGAGCAGGAACCCCAAATATGATTTAGGGTATATACAATGTAGTATATATTATTCCTTACTTAAAGGACTTTGGAAGGTCTGAGGAGCCCATAATTACCCCATCCCTATAATCCCTAGACCCTGAAGGCTAAGCCCTCAACCCCAAGCCCTCAACCCGAAACCCTCAGCCGCCTTAGCCCGAGCCCTTCACCCAAAGTCCTGAACCCTCAATCCTAAACCCGAAGCCTCAAACCCTCAACCCTCAACCCTCATAGAGGAGCCCCATAAACCCTAATTAAACCCTAAACCCTGAACCCTGAACCCTTACAAAGCCTACACCCTAAACCCTGAACCCTCAACCCTAAACCCCTAAACCTTGAACCCTTAACCCTAAACCCTAAACCCTGAACCCTACAAAGCCTACACCATAAACCCCCTCATAGAGGAGCCCCCCAAAAGTAGGAGCCCGGAGAGCAGATCCGGCGCAAGGATGCTTCGGGTCTGGCAGGTTTCTGGCGAGCAGCTGCTGTCTGTTTCCGAGGACTGGGCTCTTAACCCTAAACCCTAAACCCTAAACCCTAAACCCGAGGGCGTCGGGTTTAGGGTGTAGGCTTCATAGGGTTCAGGGTTTAGGGGAGTTCAGGGGTTTAGGGTTTGCGGGGGTTGAGGGGTTTAGGGTTTAGGGTTTAGGGTTTAGGGGTTTAGGGTTTGGGGGTTTAGGGTTTGGGGGTTTAGGGTTTAAGGTTTAGGGTTTGGGGGGCTGCATGCAGTACACTTTCCGTGTCCGAAGACTGGGCTCTGGAGGGGCCTTAGTAATTAGAATAGGGTTCTTTATAAAGGGTCCCTTTAAAGGGATTTACAATGGCTCTATGATATAGGGGCATTAGGATAGGGTTTTGGGGCATATTCTATTATAAATATAAATACAATAATATAATAAGGAACCCCAAATAGTTGTGGGAAGAATACTATACTTTAAAATTTAATGCTTTTTGGGGACCAGCTCCTTACAGGAACCAGTATGGAATCCTATAAGCTTCTACTTCTTCTCCCTGTTGCTTACCCTAAACCGTAAACCCTAAACCCTAAACCCTAAACCCTAAACCCTAAACCCTAAACCCTAAACCCTAAACCAAAGCCCAGAGTCAGAGGAGGAGCTGGCGACGATAACGTCCGAAGGCACCGGGGCAGCTCTAGGGTTTCTGGTGGGGGTAATATAGGGGGTTTAGAGTTTAGGGTTTAGGGTTTAGGGTTTAGGGTTTAGGGTTTAGGGTTTAGGGCTTAGGGTTTAGGGGTTTAGGGGTTTAGGGTTTAGGGTTTAGGGTTTAGGGAATAGTTACCTATACCATTTCGGGGGTTGCTTGTTATAACTATAGTATAATGGGTCCCCAAAGCCCTATTCTATCTATTAAGGCCCCTGCACCCTAAACCCTTTATAGTAGTCCTTATAGAACCCTTTAGGGAGCCCTTGAAAGGAACCCCCGAAGCCCTATTGTAATACCTTTGCTGCTTTTTGTTGATGGTTGTAGTTTCGGGCCGAAGGTCTCTAAACCCTAAACCCTAAACTCCGAAACCCTAGACCCTGAAACCTAAAACCCGAATCCCCTGAACCCTAAATCCTTAAACCCTAAACCCCTGAACCCATAAACGCCCCAAGCCCTAAACCCCTAAACCCCTAAACCCTAAGCCCCTGAACCCCAGACCCGTAAACCATAACCCCTGAACCCTAATCCCCTAAACCCGGTTTCATTGTTTGTCGGGCTATCGGGCTGGAGCGCATGTGGTTCAGGGCTCAGTTCCCAGGGGTTCAATTGCGGGATCACGAGGCTAAGGGTTAGGTTGGGTTCACGGGCTGTGAAATCGGGGTCGGGGGGGTTAGGGTTTCGGGTTTTGGGCGCTTGTGGGTTTAGGGTTGGAACAAGGACCGTGCTCGAAGCTGGATTTGGTCGGGGTGGCCGAGCTCCCAACCTAACCGCCGCATGCCTGGACCCCTCACCACAATCTAAACCTCCCGCATTTCTCACTTTTGCTTTCACCCTTAAACCTCAACCCCTAAACCCTTAACCCGTAAACCCCAAGCCCATGAAAATCAAACCCTAAGCCCTAAGACCCGAAACTCACAGACATTTTTTCTTTACAAGAACCCGCATTCAAACCCCCGAAAAGAACCCGGGGGTATCCATATAGAGCTTACGCCGTACAGAACCCTTCATAACGATTGAAGGATAAGCCCGAAAACCCTAATTAAAGCCTGAATACAACCTTGAAGCAGCATCACCTACGTTTCTGTAGGCTCCTATCATAAACTCGGAGTTGATTCGGACTACAAAAGAAGGTTCCTGCCCAAACCCTACACCGCGGCAACCCTAAACCCGAAACCGTGGCAGCCTTCAACCGTTAACCGTAACCCTAAACCCTAAGCCCCAAACCTGAAACCCTAAGACTAAACCCTAAACCCTGAACCCCAAGCCCCAAACCCTGAACCCTCAACCCTAACCCTTAAGCCGGTTAAGCTACCCTTGAAGGAACCCTCAAGGGAAGCACTGGAGCCAGGTTGTCCCTTCGTGCCTGCCGTGAAGCAACACTTGCAGCATCTCTGCGGACATACCCGGCTCCCTGGGCAGGTTTTGGTGGTGGGTTCGATTTGAGGGGTTCCTTTAAGGTTTAGGGTTATAGGGTTTACCCATAGGCCCCATCGTAGTTCCTTTTTGTTGCTTACATTTAGGGTCCCATTAGGTAATCCAAAAAAGCACTACCATGGGGCCTATGGGTAGTGTTTAGGTTTCCTTTAGTAGTTTAAGGTTTGAAAGCTATAGGGGTTTTACTGTAGGGTTTGGGATTATTGAACCCTAAAACCGTACACTCTAACTTCATTTGCGTAGGGGTTGGAGCGATGTAAGAACCCTGTCTCTAAAGTGCCAACGCCTCAAAGCCCGAAATCCTAAACCCTATAAACCTTAAACCCTCAAACCCTTCAACCCTTAACCATTTCGGGTTTAGGGCCTGGGAATTAGGGGTTCAATGTTTAGCCCTAACCCCTAAAACCCCTAAGCCCTAAACCCTAAACCCACACCCTTCGAACCCTAAGCACTTAAATCCTGAACCCTTAAACCTTAAACCCTAAGCCTAAAAACCCTAAACCTTACCCTTCAAACCCTAAACACTTAAATTCTGAACCCTTAAACCTTAAACCCTAAACCTCACCCTTCATACCCTAAGCACTTAAATCCTGAACCCTTAAACCAGGTTCCAGCAGCGTCTGCTGTTCCTCGGGAGTGGCGCCGTCTTACATGATGCCGCACCGCTGGCGTCCTGGCTGTGGCTTTAGCCTTATAAGGGTGGTTTAGGGTTTTAGGGCTCCTTTAAGGGTTTATAGGGTTTTCGGGTTTCTTTAAGGGTTTAGGGCTTTAGGGTTCCTTGAAGGGTGTAGGGTTTGAGGGTTCATTCAAGGCTTTATAGAGTTTTCGGGTTTCTTTTGAGGTTTGGGTTCCTTGAAGGGTGTAGGGTTTGAGGGTTCGTTGAAGGGTTTCCTAAGTACCTTCCTTTGGGTTGGTAGAAAGGGGGCCTGGGGCTCAGGGCACTATTGAAGCTTGAGTTCAGAGCGGTTCTCCTATACCTTATAAGGGGTTAGGGTTTAGGATTTAGGTATCGCGGTTCTACTATGCCTTATAGGGGTTTAGGGTTTAGGATTTAGGTATCTTAACTTACTATAGTATAACAAGACCCCCCCCCCTTTTCCGAAAACAACACGAACAAACACACTTCCAGTGCTGATTCCTAAGCCTTAAACCCCAAACCTTACACCCTAAACCCGACCCTTGAGAACCCCCAGCCTTCGACCCGAAGCCTCAATCCTTAGACCCCAAACCCTAAACTGCGGGTTTAAGGTGTAGGGTCTAGGATCATACTTACCTTCAACCCCCAGCTTAGGGTTTAGGCCTTGAGGATTAGGGCAAAAACCCGAAACCCTGTAAACCCTAAACCCCAAACCCTAAACCCTAAACCCTAAAAAATCCCTAAACTGCAGGAGTTGCCCCTTGACCTCCAGCTCGTGATCCTTCCCTACGTGGCGGCTCACCCGAAGCACTGCGTAGATCTGAGGCGCCCACAGGGTTTAGGGTTTAGGGTTTAGGGTTTACGGTTTAGGGTTTAGGGTTTAGGGAGGTTCCTTGACCCTCAGTGTCCAAGTAGTTTAGGGTTTAGGGTTCAGGGTTTTATTGTTTAGGGTTTAGGGTCCAAGTACCGACTAGTCAAAGGCTCTCCAAAATACGAACCTACAAGACTACTATCCTAAATACATGTACTTAATTCTTGAGCCTTTGGACGCTTGGGGTAATGGCTTTCAAAGGGATGTTCCGGGCCACGGATCCAGAAATCGGGGGACAGTTTAAGGAAAGCCCCAGCCGGTCGAATCCTTCGTGGAAGAACCGCAAAACCCTGCACCCGAAACTGGCCCTAAACCTAAACGGGTTTAGGATTTAGGGTTTAGGGGTTTAGGGTTTAGGGCTTAGGGTTTAGGGTTTAAGCTGTAATCCCTGAAACCCTAAACTAAACCCTTTGTTATGGCAGTATCAGAGCCTCACGTCTGCAACTAAGAGTTCAACCGACTCTCAGGGTTTAGAGGTTTATAGGGTTTAGGGTTTAGGGTTTAGGGTTTAGGTTCAGCACTTGACATGGCGGATCCCGGTACGCGAGTACGTGAAACCGCCACCAGCTTTCGCGCAGTGGGACATGGCAAGCACCTAATTTAAACGTTCCTAAAAAACTACACTTCCACACCATCACGAATCGGAAATTCATCCATAATAGCTCGCAGAAACTCAGCAGCCTGTTGTCTTTCAGCAAGATCCAGAAGCAAAGTATGTTGTAACTCATCACGTAGCTGAACCAGTGTTTGTGGAATAGGTACGGCCCCCGCAGCCTTATCAGCCCGCGCATTATGATGAATCGTCCACAAGTCAAAGAAATTCACAGCTTGGGAGGGTTGACGATGAGCTTTCGTCCAAATCACCTGGATGTCATTTCGGGACCTACCGGAGACAACCTTCGCCACCGTCAATAGCAAGTCCCGATCCGGGTGGGCATTCCAGAAGGAATGTGCAAAACCAGAAGACAGAATACGATTGACATCTCTAACAACCGAGGCATTGTCACAGAAAACTCGGACACGATTGGCCACCATGATAGCAATGATCACCGCGTGTAACTCAGCCCGAAAAACCGTCTGACGTTTCCCAACCAGAGTACCTGAGGCCAAAACAGTGTTGCGTTCGCTTGAAGTCTCGGCCAGAGTAACAGCCCAAGAACAAAGTCGCGTAAAGGGGCATTTGGGGGATCTCGCAGACCCATCAGTGAAGATTTCCCGAACAGTCTCTGAAAAAGGGAGAGGCTGAATATCTTGACAATCCAGCTCATCAAGTCTCCTGGCATAATCATCATACAACTGCAAACGGGGCAGTAGTCCTCCCAGTAAAAAACTCTTCGGTTTGTCCTTGAGACTATACCAAATGTCCCTTGCACGAACATGTTCCGTTCCTGGACAGTGGTAGCACCGATGTTCCAAAGAATCTTTCAACCCGCAATGGACACATGCACCATCATGTTCATCCAAGAAATGTGCTTTACGGTTGTTGGCGAAAAGTCCACCCAATCTTACCTTCCTCATGAATGCCTGAATAAGTGGATCAGAGTGCTCCGGATAAACAGTGCTCATCACAGAAAGAGAAGGCAGGTCCGTCAAGTTCTCCTTCTGGTGCAAATGCTGCAAAAGGTTGTCTTCCCAGGATTGCATAAGGAGATCATTGAACTGGGCCGAGGAGATTTCCCAGATCCTGAAGGACCACCCTCGGGGAGTAGTGCACATACCATCTTCACAGAAAGCCCAGCCAAGCCCGTGCAACTGATTCTGGAAGATGGAAACCATACCCCTCGTCCTGTTTTTGTAGAAAGCACCAGAGCGCGTAGCAAGCTTCCACACCTCCTTGATAAGTTGCTCCTCCCTGCTAAAAGCTCTCATGAAAGCAGCAAATCGACACCTGCCCACGTAAATTGCAGGCTCAAAGACCGACCCAGACATCAAGGGAGAAAGAAAGTGGAGATGATAACGCATTTTCCCCCAGACTGAATGGTTCATCTTGGCCCTCACGTCGTTCATAAATTCTTTTCCAGCCATCCAGTTCTGGCAGCCATGGAACACAAGAGGAAGCACAGCTCTCACCACCACTGCTGTTTTTTGCACTGCACTCCAAGGCATATATTGCAGCCTGTCCAGAACCACCTTTGCACGTTTCCATCTGTCATTCCTAGCCCTGACAGAAGGTACTAGGGCAGTTTGGAAATCCACCCCCAAACCAGAAAAGTTCTTCGCCATTCCAATGTTCAGGTCAGAATCCTGCATAGAAGCCTGAAGTTTTCTAGCTTCTTTCATTGTCGTGGCAAAGACCGTCGACTTCCGAATATTGACAATAAGATTGCACTTTCCCGCCAACTCATCAATCATCTTCGTCACATACTGCATCTGATCAGGCGAGTCAGATAAAACAATCCAATCATCAACATAGGAATACATTTCCGACGCTGTATCCTTGAGAGCCTTGGCTGTGAACATCCAGGTTAAGATAATCATCTGGAAAACTGCAATAGGGCATCCTTCCGGGACACCAGTGCACGACCGGATTCCAGTACCCCAATGATTGCCGCATGTGAAATGTCGTTCCAACTGTGCCAAAAAGGTCGAATAAGGGTCCCATAGCTTTTGCAGCCCAAGTCGTTGATTGAGTTGCTGAAGGACATTCCTAGGGAGGGTATTGTAAGCCTTGGAGAAGTCAAAGGAAACCCCGTAAAGAGGCTGGCCAGAAATCAGTGCTTGCTCCAGGCGAGTTTGAACAGAGGAAATCATATCCGAAGTGGACCTCCCTGGCACAGAACCATAAAGTGTAGCAGGTAACGCACCACCAATGTGATTGGCGATCTTTCTGGCCATGATTTTTCCCCATAGACGAAAAACAGACGCCAGGATGGTGATAGGACGAGTAGTTTCGACCTGGCCTACTTGGTCGGTTCTATAAAGGAGTGACATCCTCGCTCTCGTCAGCGCCTTCGGCCATTGACCATCAGTAAAGCGGTTGAGAATACGAATGAAGTAAGGTCGTAGCATCTGTGGCATATTCTTGAGTTCGAAGTTGCTAAAGCCGTCCATTCCACGAGCTTTCTTGACTCCCAGTTTCGGCAAAGCCCATTGAAGATCGGGTTCCCCAATTTCTGTGTCCATTGTGCGAAGCTGAGGCAGGCAATGAATAGCAATCACAATCTCATCATCCATCTCGTCAGGCATGGCACCATTCCAGAATTGTGTCCAGTAGGCACCAGCAGCTTTCGTAATTTGTATGGGGTTCGCTGAAGCTCTGACCTGGGACACCATGCCTGTTTGAAACTTCCCCTCGACATGCCGAAGACAAACATGCCCATTCTCAATGTGTGACACATAAGCCTTAGCCTTTCCTTGCAGCCACAAAGATCCAACCCTAATACATTGCAAATCATCATCCAAGAGGATACATCGCTCCTGACCCTTTTGGCGGGACCTGCGGCAAGCAATCCTGTGTTCAGTCGCCACATTGAGCGAGTCAACACAGGGCAACCCAGGCGGCTTGATAGCACTGAAGTGTTTTGAACCACCTTGCTTCCAGTCGTCTTGAAAGATCTCCTTAAGCGCCTGTCTACGATGCTTGCAACAGACCGACCTCCAATGAACTTCGTCAAGCTTAAGCTGTTGGCAAATATACTGAGCCACCTGGGCACTGGGAGGGCTAAGGGGGAAACACTCAGCATGTTCAGACATCCACCAGGACGCGAAAGGTCCCGCAAAGCCAGTGGAGTGGACAATGGCATTCCACGTAGATTTGCAATCTGCATCAGTCGCCGGGTCGGCTTCTTGTCCACTTCGTCTCTGCAGCGCAAGGCATTGGGCAGTGTAGGTCTCGAGTCGTCGAATTTGTCGGATGCGCTGCCGCAGGACTTTGTTTGTCTCATCACCCGACGGTTGAAATTCTCCCAATCGTGCCCTAGGCGTAGGCGCTGAGTTCTGACATTGTCGAAAGGCGCCCTTGCTCCTGCCAAAGAATTTCTTGTTGGGCTCCCCCTGATTGAGCTGGGCCGCAGTGTGTTCAAAGGCCTCACAGAAAGTAGCCCAAATGGCATCCATATCATCAGACTGCAAAGCCTGCTCAAGTTTGCACCTGACACCAGCGGGCACGTATGCATGTTGTAGTTGATGCGGTTGAACACCAAGTTCTCTCAAATCTGAGGGCATAGGAAACACACAGGAAGTCGTAGGTACAGAGCCCAAGTCGAAAATAGCATTGACAGTTCTATGATCAGTCTCTGCTTGAGCGGACGTAAAGAAACCAGAGAAAGCAGGGGCCGCCAGCCCATTGTAGATGATGTAGTCGAGGCGGGAAATATCTTTGTACGTCATCTGCAGCGGTTTTCCATCCCGCTCCTGTTGGGTGAGGGCAGCGTCTCTCCAGCCCAGGTTTCTCATCTGATCCCAAACAGCCAGATCAGGCACTGCACAGTTGATGTCTCCAATGATAATAGCCGGGGACTTGATCAGATTCGCCCTTGCAATTGCCTGTCGAAGCAGCTCCTCGTTTTTTGCTTGGAAATCAGAAAAACCCTGGTGGTAACCATACACAGCAATGATGTGCACAGGTCCGGCCTCCGTGATGACGAAACAATCCGTCATCCGTGATGTATCCCAGATATGAGAAGGCCAGGGAGACAAAGCCGGCCTCGTTGGATACTTGGACAGGATCGCTGTGCCCTGGGCCTGTCCCTTCGTCACACAGTGACGGTTGTCAGAAAAAACCCGTCTGTCTACCGCCTTGCTGAAGACAACATGTCTTTTGTTCTTGTAGACGATCTTCTGGACCTTCTGCTGAACATAGCTGGTAGCTGATGTCTCAGAACAAACAACCACATCGGCCTCAGAACCGAGCAGTCGGCCGTCGTCGGCCATAGCGTTGAGTGACTGCACGTTCAGGCCGCAGACCTGCATCGGCCCGGGGTTGCTAGCCTCACCCACCCTCGCACACTTGTACCAGGGTTGGTAGGGCAAAATGCCACTACCAAAGAAAAACACGTCCCATGAATTCATTGAATTGAAGAAATAATTCGCCTCCGCCCAACTATATCCAGCCTGCACGCCATCATTCACGCCAGGGGGAGATTGCACTGTATCATAGCCAGAACGGTAGTTGTTGTCTGACCACTTTGCATAAAAACCATCCAGAGCAGAGTCCAGATGAATTTGGATTCTCTCCGATCATTGCTTGGGGTGTTTGCGTGGCTCGTCCTTGGAAGGGGACGGTGTCCGCTTCCTGAGTGATCCGATCTGTTGCCGAACCTCAGCCATGAGTTCGTCCTTTAAGGAAATCTGAGAGCATTTGATGTCTGCATTGAGATCAGCCCGCTGGGTCGAGATGGCCGAGGTGATGGCGGCCATGTGCCTTTCCAGCTGGCTGGACATGTTGCCCGCCAACTCATTGATCCCAGAACGGAGCTCTTCATTGACCTTGTCCTGCTTGTTCTGCTGATTGGGCCACTTGTTGCTGGAGGTTGCGGAAGTCCTTTTTGAGCATGTTGGTGGTGGCAATCTGTTCCTGGTGCAACTGGTCCATACGCTTCTGGAGTTTGTCTTCAATAGCCGCTGCCGCCGAGTCAGAATCCACATGCATCACAGGGGTCGGGACTTCAAGTCTCTTGGGCTCTGGTGGCACAGAAGAGTGGCCAGCCAAAAGCCACGTCGCCTCATGCCTGGTGAGGTTCTTGCCCTTGCCCTGTTTGCCTTTTCCATTTCCTTTGGCAACACGTTCTGAAACAAGTATGGTGCCATGTGCAGCCAGGAAGACCATGTTTGCTGGAGGGCCAGCGGCCCCCACAATCCACGTACGAGGGCGGCTCTGTCTTACAGCAATGGAGGGCCAGCCAACACTGTTGAGGAAGGCTTGCACCTCAGCCTTGGAGGAGGACAAGGGCATATTCTGGAGGTCGTAGTAACGAGTGATCTGCAGATTGTATGGCGTGTCCGGCAGTGGCCTCCAGAGTGGTTGCCACCGCTGCTTCGCCTTGATGAAGTCATCGTTCTTGACCCGTATGCCATATCCTCCCTTGTTCCTGACCAATCCAGCAGCCGTTGGCTCGGAGTTGGCTTTGATGATGAGATCATCCAAAGGGCAATCAGATAGCCAAACCACCTTGTAGGCAGGATCCGGAAGGCCATCTTCTGTCTTGGGGGAGAAGTAGATCCCAGGAATCACTGTTTTGAGGATGAGCTCCTTGGCCTCCCTCTTGACTCTCAACATAAGAAAACACGTCTGTGCACCCTTGGGATCCTGGGTCGGCTTCGCTGCATGGAAGAAACGCCGATCCCATGTTGTCACAATTTTGTCCTCCAAGTGGGCAACGTGCTTCTTGAGGAGCTTGATCGGGCCATCAAGTAGCTCCTCCCAGCTCGTCAT